CCTATCTGAAGACTAAATGGAAGAACAATACAAAGAGAATGTCACAGAAAAAGAAAAGACATTTGCTCTCCAACCTCAGGGAAACGTTCAGGTGATTAATTGGTATAATGGGTTGTTCTATTTTGTTTTGTGTTTACAGGAGTTCATATCCTGACATGCATTGCATAGATGGAGCGTAGTGCTAGTTTTCATGGATAGAAATGCGTATTTCCTACTGACACTTTTTTTTTCTTCAATACAGAATGTCTGGCAGGCTCATGCTCTTAGCCTGACAACACCTTCCTTGCCAAGTTTTATTTATATTTTCAAGTCACTGCCCTATCCTAGTAGTGGAGGCAATTCAGCCTAGTGGAAAGAGCACTGGACAAGGAGTCCAAGGCCTCTGGGTTGTGATGGTACCTTTTACCTTTAAAGTCATATACCTCTACCAATTTGTGAATTGGGCAAATTGACTAACCCACCTCTAGAAAGTCATTTTATTTGCTTCAAAATAATTGCAGAAGAGGACAATGGCATGGAAATTTTAGCATAATATATTTTCACAATTCTTATTCCACAAAGTATAAATGTTCAAGGAAACATTTCCAGTAAAATAGAGCAAAGGAAAATGCCTGAAATTCTAAAGTTATCTCTTTCCTTTATCCCTCGGTTAGCAAAACAAACACACAAAGAAAGATAACTTTTTTTATTACCAAGGGGAAGGATTTTCATTTCATTTGAAGGGTAACATGAATAACTAAGTAATACTACATGCTAGAAACTGTTCTAAGCACTGTGTGTTGATTCTTGCAACCTTCACAACAATCTTATGAGTGAGGTATGCCAATTTTATTATAAAGAAAAATCAAAGCACAGAGAAGTTATACGGGATGGCCAAAGCCACACAGCTTACAGAGCTGGGGGAACTGAAGTGTGAAGCCATGTGATTCAGCACCTTGAGTCCAGACTTTTCCCCACTTGCTATGCCACCTTTCACTTGGAGCATTTCTGCTTACTGTAGCTAGTAACTGATAATAGCAGTAATGCAGAGATTGCATTGTTAATCACTTAATCAATTATTTACTAATTAATTATCTAGTTAATAAATATTTTCACAGATAGAGGTGAACCAGTATCAGTCAATACCTGTTAGATGCTATCACAGAGTCACAAGTGTTCAAAATCATCAGCCCACTTCCTGGCTATAAATAAAGCATCACCCATTGTGTGTTGATAACATATAAAATGAGCAAAATCTGTAGTTTGCTTCTACAAGAATTCTCACTATTGCATTATTCCCCATTAAGTTTTAAACCACCCTAGGAGATATGTGGGACCACCTCCCTCCTCAGAAGTGCATAACACATGGTTAGGGTACATCCTGGGACCACAATAAGTGGGTTTAAACTCTGGTTCCATCCCTTCTCTTTGCTAGGTAATCTCAGGGCAATTGCCAAATCTCTCTGTGCCCCAGTTCCCTTTTCCATCAAACAAGAATGAGAATGCAAGCAGCTATTTCCCAGGGTTATTTAAAGATTAAGTAAGTTAATGTATGCGAAGTACCTGGCTCTTACTAAGTACTCCATAAAGGTTACTCTTGTTTTTATTAATATGACAGGTGATTTGCCAAGCATCACAAAGACTGGTAGTCTTTGGATTCAATCCTGACCTTCTAATTTCAAATGTCATTCTCTTGCCTTAACAGAATTCCATGATTTCTATTTCTAAAAATTACCATTCTCTTGACATCCTACTATGTTTCAAAGCACTCAATGAGAGGATTTTCCTAGTAAAACTACTGAAAGACCCACAAGGTAGGTAATATTGCCCCTATTTTGCAGGTGACAAAGCTATGGTTTGAGAAGTTAAGTGATTTATTCTTAATTGATTAGTAAACATCTTTTGTCACTAGCAAGGGACTAGTGAGTGAAGTAAGATTTAGAAAGTCCTAAACACCATTTAAAGTTCCTGACAGCACTCTTTAATGTATGCTATTTTTAAAGTGCAACCTAAAAGGCATAAACGGTAATTTTCTTGCTTTGTTTGCTTTATTAGCTTGAGAGAAGGATTAAATTCCAGTAAAAACAAAATGTTTGACTTGAGTGAATTATCAAAATGACATGCTGCCTCAAATAGACTCTTCATCTGCCTGCAGGGTGATCCTAAGCAGCAGAAATCCAGCAAACACAGTTTTTAGATGGGTATATCATGTACCAAGTCAGACATTCACTTATTTAAGAAAAAATATTTTGGAGAGCAAAGAGAAGGGTAGAGGCATCTTCCTGTCTTGTCTCTGGGTGGGCTGAGGGGGGAGAAAGTGAACAATAAGTGATAGGATCTCTTCCACGCAGCCCCACACAATGACGTGTCTTGAAATGAGACATACTGTGAAACAGCTTGTGAGATGAGCTTCATCAACAATAAGTAATTTTTATTCCGATTTTATTGTTGAACACAATGAGCATGATTAAATGTTTCAGATATGCCTATTCAGACCGTAAGCAAACCATCAAAAAATCTCCACTAAAAATCATCTTTTAAACCCGCTTTTAGGAAGAGGTTTAATTGCCAAGTTGATGTGGAGAACCAAATCCCCATTTGACAGCGGCACAGTTCCCGGGAAGATAGTGACACGTTTGAGCTTCCCACCTTGGCCTCTTCTCTCACCGCTGCAGATCCTACCAGCGTTGCCAAATAGTTACAATGTCAGTCCTTTCAAATTACTGCATTTTGAACTTCCTAAACCTTTAAGAGGGCCTCTGTGTATGGAAAAGAACAATAGCGCTTCAAAAGCCATTTCTGCGAGTTCTTCAATACTACATTTGAATGCTAGGATTTCAATCAAGGACATCAGCAGACAATTTCTGATTGCTTAGAAGTTGACTTTTATAGAGCTTTGATTAGGTCGCCCTTCTCAATGGGAAATCAAGAAAATCTTTGATCCCTTTCAGCTTCCAGAAATGTCACCAAGGCTCTTCAGGATAGGGAATGAAATGGGAAGGGGAGCATTCATACTCCATCTAACCTCTCCCCCACCACATTCCATTTATTTTCTTGCCCATACAATTCAGGGATCCATCCAAAGTCACTCATCATTGAGATAATAAAAACAATGAGTGCTAATTCAGGGGGTGGGGATGGTTTATCATTTTATGGATTTCCCAAAGACCCATAATTGGCACATGAATGTACAAACGTGAACCAGATAATTAGGGGGTTCAAAATGTAAGCCACCTTTAATTTATATGATTACTTGAAAATATGTTAAGTGTTGGGAAGTGTCAGCGGAAACCCCCCACAAGGCTTTTATTCAAAACCATCAACATTGTGAAAGTGTGTCTAACGGGCCAGCGGGAGGGGATCTGGAGGGAGGGAGGGAGGGAGGGAGGGAAGACTGGTATCACAGATGCTAGTTAGGTCCTCATGGGTCCCCTGGGAGAGGCACTGTAGCACTGGCGTCAGAGGAGGCCTCAATGGCGACCCGCTCCACAGAAGAGAAAGGCGCTCTCGACTCGCTGCTCTAGCTAACCACACTCCACACTGGCGTGAGCCGACACACAAACGCACACGCAAGCACCGACCCACGCGGGCACGCACCTACCCGTGGCGACGCACAGCGGAGCGCAAAGATGCCCGCGCCGCGGCGCTCTCCACTCCTCCCGCCGCCACCGAGCGCCAGGCGGTCGCCAAGCGCCCCCGGCTTCCCCACCCCCACCCCATTCCTTCAGACTCTCCCAGCGCAGGCGGAAGTGCCCCGGCAGACCCCCAACAATGAGGACTTGTGTGATGCAGTTGGGGGCTGGGGATAGTTCACACGGAGTGAAACATACACAGTCTGGCGGGTCCCGAAGCAGGCAACGCAGTAGCCAAGTGGCCTCAGCTAGCCAAGCAGCTTTCCTTCGCGTCCACCACCCCCCACCCCGCCCCGGTCCGTTCCACTAGAATTACCAAAATACTACTACTAATAATAATAACTGTAAAAGGGAAAAGAAAAGGCACCTTCAAAAGTGCAAAGAAAAGAGACACCCTCCCACCAGAGGTCACAATAATACTCCGCGGGCGCAGCTAGCGCAAGCAGCATGCAGTGGGATTTGGAAATTTACTTTGTAGCCTCACCCAACGGCCCTTTCCAGGCGCCGCGACACAACCTCCCCTCATGCTGGACTCACTGCCTCCGGTTGTCTCGGCGGTAGAGCCCCCATCCCCACCTCCACCCCCGCCACCCTCAACCCTTCCACGGCTCCTTTATGAGCCGAACCATGGGGATTTAAAGTTTCCCCAGTAGGAAAACACTGAGCTCTGCCTGCGAGGTAGAGCGTGGAGTCAGGAGCAGAGAGAGCGAACAGGGACAGGCTGCGGAGCGGGTAGCGGGGTGACAGGGGCCTGGGATGTAATGGAGGAGGACGGGCAGCAGAGAACGAGGCGATGGAGGACCCGAAGGACTGGGGTCCCAAAAACGCAAGATCCACCTCTAACGGTGTCCGCCAAAGGGTTGGGGTGACTGGGATAGAATCAGTTTTTCGAGAGCTCCAGGCAGAACCGCAGCGCAGCCGGGAAGTACAGAAGTAAGAAACCGGGTTAGAGCCAGTGAGGACTGGGGTCCGGGCCCGAGTGCCACTAGCAAGGACTGGGAGCACGAGCAGGCTCTGGAGCAGTAGAAGCAACCTTGGGGATGGCTGGAGCGAGGACCGCAGGAGGGAGAAGGATACGTGGGGTCCCGGGCAGAGGCGAACGGACAAGTCTGGAGAGAGCGTCGCGCGTGTTCAAAAGTGGGGAGATGGATGTGGGGGAGCCAGGAGTGGGTCCAGCAAGTGGAGGGTGAGGGCTGGAAACTGCTGCAGCAGCCATCCCTCAGCACCTCTAGCCAAAATCGCGAGAGGCAAGCCCCGAGAGCCCTCCTTTCTCCGCCCCGAGGTTCAGCGGGCCCCAGCTGAGCCACCCGGGCTCGCCGGCGCCGTGTCCCCGCGGGACACCTGGCCGCGCTTAACTCCAGGGCTGCGCGTGTCCCCACCGCGCCTCACCTCTGCTTGCCCAGAGCATCCTCGTCCTCCGCTGCCGCAGCCGCCCAGGAAGCGGCTCCCCATGCCCTGCCCGGCGGCCGCGGCACTCAGGCGCGCTCTCCAACCCGGGGAAGCCCCGGCGAGCGCCGAGCTGGGTCCATCCTCCCCGGGAGCCTCGAGCCCGCGTCAGAGCAGGAGGAGGAGACCGCCCCCCGCGCGGACCCGCCTCCTCCCGCGGCCCCCGCCCCGCCCGCCCCCGCGCCGACCGGGCGCCCCGCGGCGCCGCTCACTGCCAACCGGGCGCCCCGGGCCGCCGCACCTGCCAACTCCCGGGCCGCCGCCGCCTGGCCGCCCGCAGTGCGCCCCTCGCCCCGGCCTCGCGGCTCCCGCTCCCGCCGGGGCGCTCTGTGCGCCGCCCGAGCGCGCGCTCCGAGAGCTTAGCCGAGTCGCGGTGGCGACTAGGAGGAGGAAGAGCGAGGGAGCGAGCGAACGGGGGCGCCACGGCTCTCTGTCGCGCCTCTGGAGCCCCTGCGCTCACTCCCCATCCCGGCGTGGAGAGCAGAGCGCCGAGCAGAGAGCATGGGGTCCCCGCCCCAGCTGCGCCAGCGGGGAGGGTTGAGGGAAGGAGGGGATCACAAAGTGTCCAGTGTTTGCGCCACCACTGCCATCACCATCCGCAGCCGCAGCCCCGCCCGGCCTCCTGCGTTTTCTCCTAGGGTCTACTCTTTTATTCAATCCTCTAAACATACCCATATCCCAAAATCAACAGTCAGTGGGCAAAAATACAGTCAGCGAGACCTTGTTGCCCCCCCAACTCGCTTAGCAGGAGGGGGCGTCCTCTCCCAGCGACCAAAGCTTGGTGAGGTGCCCCAGGCAGCTTTGGGCACTGGGAAGGAAAAAGGCTTGCACCTGTCTCTTTGTCATTAGTACTAGGGAAAGGGACCTGTACCCCAAAGGGAGTACAGGCCCCAGCTTACCAGGCTTCCCTCACCCCATCTTTAGAATGTTGGGCAGTAATCCAGTGCTGGAGAAGGCTCCAGGGAACTCTATTGCTCCCTACTTCTTCGAATCCTAGCTTACAAAGGTCCTAAGAACACCAAAACGCAAAAAATACTGGGTCAGTCTGAATTCTTTCACCAGGTCAATGCCTGTTGTGTTATGTTGGTCTCCAAAGGTTCCAATGCTACCACTTGGAGCCAGGTTCCAAGGAGGAACAGAAGAGACAAGCAACAGTTAGTTTAAAAGTTTGCTTCAATTTTTGGGGGGTTACACTTCTATCCTGTCCTCCAATTGTGTAATAATAAAGCTAACATGGTGGATTTTTTTTTTCCTGGTAGCTTCTGTCACTCACCCTGGAAAATTTAATGAAGCATTTTGGGTTATTACCTTCAGAGTCAATGGGCTAAAAATACTTAGTCTAATGCACTCCTTGTGCAGTCAATAGGTCTTGTGGCTGGTACATACAAAGTTATCGAAAGACCCTCCCTTTCTCCACGAAATTCACGACCCATTAAACTTATTCCATAATAACAGCTTCTGTACAAATGGAGGCAAACTTGGCTGTCAGGCACCTCCTGAACAAGATAGCAATTCACATAGAGACAAGAAAAATTTGTGAGGTCACTGGCGGGATGCAACCTTGGAGAATAGTTGTGAGAGGAAATTTCCCACAAGGTGGGTGGGAGTTCCCATCCCTGATTCCACTGCCTCTGGACTGACCAGGGGATCTTATGGTGGAGACCAGAGAAACTGTCTAAATCTCTCCAACTTGTCCAAAGTTCTAAAAACTAGGAAGAGTTGCCACCAGGTACCTTTCTATACTCTGTGTAGAAGTATATTCTACATTGGTGTTCAGGCTGGCCACCAACTCAATCAAGATAAAAACACTTCACTTTCCTCATCTAAGTAGTCTCAATTCCAAAAGAACAGAGAGAAACCTGAGAAGCCATGGCTGAAAATGGGGGTAGAGGAGAGTAATTGTTATGGACTTCAGTAGGCTGAACAAATGTCAAACCTTGAGGAATGGAGCATGGTCTCCACTTTCATTGACTGCCATAGGCAATGTTCTCCAAAGCATGGATAACTTTACATTGTTCCAAGACAGCCTTGGAATTTCAAAGCCATTTATATGCAGTGTAAGCCCCTGCGTGTCAGAGGTGCAGCCTTCACCTGCCTTCCACCTTGTTCAGTTGACACTGTGGCTACAGATGTTGAAGGAAATTCAGGACACTGAGTTGGCCAAGTAATGCAAATTTAAGATGATGTAAAACTCTATTTAGTGTTGGATAAAGTTCACCATGGAAACTGGGCAAATTCCCTTGAAATCCAACAGGGGCAGTAAGCTGCAGCTATTCTCAACTCCAGGCTGGGGTGGGGGTGGGAGGAGCAGGATATGTAGAATTTAATGTGGATGAGCTGCTGACCAAGGACCTAATGGCCTTCTAGGTCAAACTAAACCAAATCTCCAAGGAATATTTTGTTATTATGCTAAACATGTCAAGAAATAACTCTTCTGAAACTTAAGGTGTGAGGCTTTTGCTGTTGTTCTTTTTAAAATACCAATGTCATTTGTATTAAGTGTGGTATAAGGACAATAATCAATACGCATTCTTTTACCATTTACTCTGAAAAACAGGAAATTAATAAGAAAAGTAGCAAAGCTGTATATATTAATTACTCTGTTTCAGGCACAGTTTGGGGAATTCCTGAAATAAATTATTTAATGTTCACAACAGTGCAATAAAGGAGTTTCTGTTATCGTACAGTATTGAAAATAGACTTTGAAGGGTTGCAGGCATGGCTCAAGTGGTAGAGCACCTGCCTAGCAAATGCAAGATCCTGAGTTCAAACCCCAGAAACACCAACTGAGAGAGAGAGAGAGAGAGTGAAAAAGAGAGCGAGAGATTGAGAATGGCCTTTGGATTCTGCTAGGCCTCCTTCATCCTTGACAGGTTTCCTCTGTATTTCAACCTTCTCCACTGCACAGTGGTGACGAAGAACACCTCCTTTATGAGATTGCTATGAGCCTTAAGTTAGATAATATTTCACATAGCTGGCACTGAATAGGTTGCCCAGTAAATATTGGTTCTCATCCCAGAGTAATTCCGAAATAGGTCATTTTACTTCAGCAAGTGTTGATAAAGTCCATTCATATATCAGCACTGTGCTAGGCATTGGGAGGAGCTTGGAGTTAGCTGAGCAAGTGACATCAACACTTGTAGCCTGCAGATGAACAAAAAGTTGTGTTATCAAACTCCACATAAGTTCTCCCTAAGCACAGGATTCTCAAAAGGCAGCCTGTATAGGTACTGTTTGAAACTGACCCATAACTGGAAGCAAAACCAGTTGTCATAAACCATAAATTTCACTAGCAATAACCACTCCTCCAAAGACAGGAATACAAAGTGGAGCATTCTGTGTATTGTATAATATGTAAAATCCTACTTATTCCTGCAGCCATTTCAAATAATATAAAATGAGTTTGTGCTATGAGTTTTGGGGCTTTCTTTTCTTTTCTTGCAGCTTTATTGGGATATAGTTAACAAATACTGTATATATTTAAGGTGTACAATGTGATGTTTTGACATATGTATGCACTATGAAATAATTTCCACAATCAAACTAATTAACATATTCATCATTTTACATGGTTACTATTTTTGTGTGTGCTGAGAGCACTTAAGATCTATTCCCTAGCAAATTTCAGGCATACAGCACAAATTATTAAATATACTCACTGTGTAGAACTTATTCATTTCATAATTGTAAGTTTCTACCCATTGACCAAAATCTCCCCTTTCTCCTATTCTCTAACCTCTAGAAACCACCATTCTGTTCTCTGTTTTTATGACTTTGGGTTCTTTCAATTTCACATATTCGAGATCATGCTGTATTTGTCTTTTTCTGTCTGACTTATTTCACTTAGAATGATGTCCACTAGCCTAATCACATTGCCACAAATGGCAAGGTTTTCTGCTTTTTTAAGACTCAATAATATTCTATTGTATATACATACCCCCACAGACACACACAAACCGCATTTTCTTTTCTTTCTTTCTTTTATTTTTGGTGGCACTGGGGTTTGAACTCAGGGCCTCACTCTTGCTAGGCTGGTGCTCTTAATGCTTGAGCCACTCCTCTGGCCATTTTTTGTGATAGGTTTTGTTTCAAGATAGGATTTCCGTAACTATTTGCCCTGGGTTGGCTTTGATTGTGATCCTCCTGATCTCTGCCCCCTGAGTATCTAGAATTACATGTGTAAGCCACAAGCACCCAGCCCACATTTTCTTTAACCACACATCTGTCAACACAGACAGGATATTGATTCTACTGTGAATAATGAAGGAAGGAGTGCAGGTATCTTCCTGCACTGTGGATATGCACCCAGAAGTGAGATTGCTGGAACAAATGGTAGTTCTGCTTTTAGTCTTTTTGCAGAACCTCTATACTGTTTTCGAAAATGGTCATATCAATTTACAATTTCACCAACAATATGCAGGGAGAGGTTATCTTTTACTTACATCCTTACCAATACTGGTCCGAATTTGACTTTTCGATAATAGCCATCCTGACAGGTATGAGGTGTTATTGTGGTTTTGATTGCATTTCTGAGCATCTTTCATAAACCTGTTAGTCATCTGTATAACTCCTTGGAAAAAAAATGTTTATTCAGGTCCTTTGCTCACCTTCTAATCAAGTTATCTGTGCTTTGCTATTGAGTTGTATGTATTCCTTATATATTTTGGACACTAACTCCTTACCTGATAATTGGTTTGTAAATATACCTTTTCATTCTGCTGAGTGTTTGCTTGGCTGTGCAGAAACTTTTTAGTTTGATGTAGTCTTCCTTGTTGACTTTTGCTTTTGTTGTCTGTGTTTTTAGTGTCATATTAAAAAAAAAAGCACTGACAAGACCAAAAATCAAGGAGTTTTACCCCTATGTTTTATTCTAGAATTTCTATGGTTTCAAGTCTTACATTTAAGTTTTTAATACATAGTAATCATTTTTTGTATTAAGTTCAATTTCATTCTTTTTTAATTTTTTTTTTTTTAATTTATGGTGGCACTGGGGTTTGAACTCAGGCCTCATGCTTGCTAGACAGATGCTGTTACCACTTGAGCCACTCAGCCAGCCTCAATTTCATTTTTCTGAAAGGGGATATTTAGTTTTCCCAACATCATTTATTGCAGATACTTACCCTTTACTC